CAATCATTAACACCAAAGGAACAAAATTAATTATTTCACAATAAAAGCTATTTGTTTGTTTATTTATTGTTGTTTTTTGATTTTAGTATTAATGCATGGTTTCTATTCATAATACAGTCAGAACTTGTTAAACTGAAGTCAATATTTTCAAAAAAAAACTTCAATTTAAAAAACCTCAATAAAATCGACTTATTGAGGCAATTTGATAGGTAGATAATAAAACAACATTGGTTTATCATGTATATTCAGTTTATCAAAGCATTGTCTTAATGAGTTCTGACTGTACGTTTCATTCATTTTATTTGTTTTATTTGTTTTATTTGAATTATTTTTTACTCAAATTGTTTGTTTTATTCAAGTAAACCTTATTGGAATAGAAACCCTAGCTACTGCTCAAGATTATGATATTATTTTAGTATTGCAATTGAGAAAGCTCCTTACAAAGAGCTTTAGAAATATTTAACCAATAATTTAATTACAATATAAGAGTTATTGGTTTATTGAATTAAGCCAATAATTAACTAAAAAATAGGATTAATTTTAGAAGAATATCTGATAAAAATACTAAGAATATTATTAACTTATCAGTATGCCAATACCTTAATTATTTTTTTTAAAGAATAATCAGATTCTGATATTTACTGATACCCCATTACCCAATTTGGCATCATTCAACCAGTAAAAAGAGGACCAATAGATTATGTATAAGCAAAGAAAAATGGGACTCTAAATTAGCACAAAAGAATTTTAAATCATGCACAAACATAACAGACAATTGCATCACCCAGGTAGTAATAACACCAAGGCCATGCATAAACGAAACTTTTAATAATGCCTGTCTACCCAGATCTCTGGGGTTCACAAAATAAATTACTTTTCCTGATTATCAATTATGGTTGCTCATGAATAATAAATCTGATGTTGATTGCATGTGTCAGATTTAATTAAAACTTCCTGTCACAAACATGTAAGACCGTGCAACTAAGCACAATTCAGCACCATGGATATTTTTTTCCACAGGTGAAACAGTCCTAAACATGCTGGAAGGCTTTGGTCAAACCATTCCTTATCTTCCTCTCAAACCAGGCTTCATTGTTACCATATGGGCATTGATTGCTGATGAGAGTTGACATTCATGTGATGATTGCTTTGTGTTATACCCCTCACTCACTAGAATAAAGTTGGCGTTAAGACTGGCTTGAAAATTCAGCAGCTCAGGAGTTGCAACCTTGGATTGCTGTTTTGGATTTTCCCTGAATTCAGTTGAGTCCTGGGTTGCTGTAATTTTTGTGAAAAGAAAAGTATTAATATTTAACAATTAATTATTTAAATGTTTATTTTGTTGTTGAAAAAAATATACATTGATAGTGTACATTTTCAGTGCTTAACATCCATGTGACCCTAGTCTGGACAAAAGATCTCTTTCTATGAGTTTGGCTGATATATCTCAAAGGCATCTCCTGTCTTTTCAGTGGCATGCCTACTCACCAACAGCCCTACCCCCATTCGAAAAACAAATTCAGTTGATCAAATAAAAATTAAAGAGAAACAGAGATTTGGGAAAATGATTAACTTGTACAAAACATACCAAAATCTGAACCATTTTATGACTTTTTTTTTGTTGGCCGTATTGCTGACTAAGATGTATATTAATTTTAACCTACAGGACAGAGAACTGATTGGGCAAAAACCCAATCCAATCCCCTACCCAAAATTATTAAATTGGTTAGTATCAAAAAAACAGAACATTTATGAAAATGATTATACAAAGCAAACACTATTTTACAACTTTCCTCATAACATCAGAGCCCAAATGCAATTTCAGGGCCACAAACCTGCTCTGAATTGTGATCTCCTGTGCTTGAAACAAGTTGCAGATTCTCTTTGCTTTGATGGATCTGGATATTTACATGGCACTACAATTCATCAGCAGAGTTGCGACTTGGTCACAGAGCCACCCTTGCCCTAGAGTAGGATCGTTGCAGACAACTTTTCGGCTAGCATGCCAGCAACCTTCTCTGGTCTGGGTGCTGTGAGGGAAGATTAGTGAAAACGTCATTGACGATTAGTGTAGTCTCGGTAAACTCCAGGGCCATGTTACCCCCCCCCCTGAAAATTTAGTTGCATCAATGTATCATCGGGGTAATCTTGGTCAGATTAGCCTTTGTACATGAGGAACAAGTGAATGACTGTAAAGTGTTCAAGGTAGCGTGCGTGTTTCAACACTTGCCAATTTCCGATAATCAAACGTTGCATATTCGAAATGTTTCTTTTTCAACGGTGTGCTGCCTTAACATCTTGTAATTAAACATTATAATTAATATTATTATTATTTATGATTACGAAAAGCAAAATATTATCAATGAAAATCTTGTAATTACCCAGCAAGATCTGCTCCGCGTTTTGATTCCAATTAAAATATTTATAATAACCAAAAAAGACAATACAAATAAAAAATAGTACCTCTGGTTAGTTATTAACACGTATTCTTTAGGTGATCCAAATCAAACCAACAACAACACTCACGTTTTGTCATCTTGGACTGTCAAAAAATAAATTATTTTTAATGTTTTTCCAAAAAAAAAAAAAATCAATTCTCGTCTGTCCTATATACCAAAAAAAAAAACCAATAGGATAAATAATTAATGTGTACGCGTCGATCAAATAACAAACTTCTTTTTTTTTTAAACATGCCTCGAAGTAAAAGAAGCGACAATAAAGGCATTGCCGAGGATCGTGGATAAGTGTTTTAAGGATGGTGGTGGTGGTTATCGCCCGCCACTCGTCGTTACTCTAGTCAATAAATTACCAAAGATCTGCAAAAATATTCAATCATTAAGAATAGATCATGATACACATGAAGATAGCTTGGTTCAACTAATTGAAGTGCAAAATCAAATATAGTGGTTAACAATTAAATTATTTCATGGACAAGCTTTATCAGATAATTACAAAAAAAGCAACTCTAGCACATTCACAATCAATAATATATTATTCAAGTAATGGGTATAACAATTTAGATCATATATTAGTACCAACATTTAAAAATTTAAAGACTTTATTGTTAAAAATTAATAATTACAAAACAAAATATTTAAAAGATATTTTATTACCAAACATTGAATTTGTGAAATTGAATATTTGTTATAGTTGGTCAATTCTATCAGACTTGTCTGATTTTATTAAAATCAATGGAGGAAATTTAAAAAATCTAGAACTTTATGGTTTCCCAGATGATATCGAATCTTTAGGAGAGCTATTTCAATCAATAGCACAATATTGTAAAAACCTATTAGACTTATCAACACAATATAGGTTTGAAGTTTATGAAGAAATAATGAAAATATTTGATAATTGTAACAAAATAGAAAGGATTGTATTTCATAAAGCCTTTCATTTGGATGAAATAGATGATTGTAATAGAATTATTGCAGTTCTAAAACAAACATCTCCGAAAAAATTAAAATCAATATTAGTTGATAATAGAAATTTTAATTTTAAAGATAACTATTGGAAGGAAGACTACTAAGATTATTTGATTTATCAAAAATGACAAATTAATAAAAAATATAAATTTTACTTGCATTTTTATATACTGTATATTAATATTATTACGATTTTCATTGGTTGTGAATTTTTTTTTTTACAATTATATCAATCTAACATTTGTAGAGAATAATAGCAAAGAAAACATTTATTGGAGTTTTTACTCCAGATAATTTGGTTAACAAAACATTGACAAGTGGCAAAGACAAATTTAGTCCCTATTAGAGCTCTGAATCAGGTTGGGTAAAGAACTCGGCCAGGTAATCAATCACAGTTTTGATGAATTGTTTGGGTTCTATCCCAACCCAAACAGATTTGGAACGATTATGATATAAAGATATTGATATTAACATAATTATGTGAGTTTTCTGTTTCCGTCATATATGCATTCAATGCTGTTTCTAAATCATTGATTTTGAAGAGTTAAATATTATATGCTTCTAAAGATCTTGATAATCCTTTTTATTTAGATAGATGCGTTTGTGTTGGTTTGCACTTATCAATATTTGTTTTTGTTTTGGCTGGTCGTTCATAATTACTAATTCATTATAATGCTTCTTCTTTGCATAGTTAAACATCAATTTGAACATTTAAATATTGAATGGTTGAACATTTGTATAGAGCACTCTTTTGTAATTCTTTACTAATATCTCCTTCACCACATACTACAAAGGGTCAAAATCTTTACGAACAATACCTTTAGACGTTCTTGCTAATTTAATAAAATAAAAACAGTAACAAAATACATGTTAATTGATTTATAAATATATAGTTTATTTATCATTTTCTTTTTTCACAGTGAGGTTAGTAAGTTTTTTATATTTTTGCTTTTACTTTTTACGTGTTTAGAACGTATATTCTAAAGTCAATTTGTAGTATATGTTGTTGGAATTCTACTACTCTATTATCTGCAGTTGATTTTCCCCCGCGCTGAGGGAAAAAGAAAATCTTGATAAAAAAAAGAAGTCAATGATAAAGGCCAAACTAAATAGTTAGCGATGAAACACATACCAAAAATGCCCGACCGATTGAACATCTTAAAAAATAAAAATATGACCTTTTAAAAATATTAATGTGTACTTTAAAAATCATAACATTGTAACACGAAAATTGGGTTGTCTAAATCAGTGATGTTTACTTATTCAAGATGAAATGAATATAAAAAATTTTTTTGGCTTTGGCAATTAACACATTTGCTACTTGGTATTACACGAATTGGCATTTGTTTTACATATTTACGTACTCAAAAACTCTCAAGACCCAAAAATTTGGAAAAAAATTGGTTGTAAAGTTATTTTAAATTAAAGTCGAATCTCTCCTAATAAGGACAATCCCGTCGTATAAGAAACTTAATTGCCATATGTAAAATTTATATGGATGCAAAATATCAATTAGAATCGGCAAGTGGATTATTTAAACTTTGGCCAGAAACAGCATTTATTTTTTGACTTTGTAAGTTTATAACATTCTAAAATTAAGTAAATATTAAAGTATTTTTTGCAGTCTAACATATTTATACGAATTAAAAAGCGTTTTTAATTAATATTCAAAATTTGTAACCATGTTTGCCTTATGTGATATCGAAAAAATTAAAAAAAATCGAGTATTAATATTAATAATAATAAAAATAAATAAATCGAAAAAGCTCAATCGAAATAAATAATAAATAATAAAATAAAATATATAACAACAACAAAAAAAACAATATAAAATAAAATAAAAAAAATAAATAAAAAGTGAAAATGAAAAAGAAAATACACAACGATTTTAATGATATGGAAAAAGTTCAGAGATGATATCTTGTTCAACCTCTTCCGAAACTTTTAAGATGATATCTTCTTCAGTGCGTTCGCTTACTTGTACTAAAAAAAAAATTTTTTTTAATTAAAAACAAAATTATGATAATAATATTTCAAAAAAAAAAAAAAAGTAATTGTGAATTACCACCAGTGTTGGGAGAATAGAATCTTATGTTACTAACAACGACAATTCTATTTTTATTTATTTTTTCTGAAAAATCTTTAAATATTTTCTTATCATTTGGAGATAGTTTTCTCCACGATCTAGAAGCTAAACCGCTCACTTCTTCCAAAACAACTTTTCTGGAATGCTTCCCATACTCTTCATTAAAGATACTACGAAACAACATAAAAGGTTTTGATGGATTATTTTCAATATAAAATGCCAGGTCTTTGAATTGAATTGGGACGGGAGGCAGGGAAGGGAAATACTCTGTAACGAAGAATAAGCTGCCTTTATAATTTATGATCATAGACTCGGTTATATTGCGCTCTATTAAGGCTTCTAATTCCTCTTTACTACCAGGGAAATAATTTGAATAGTTCATTGTATTATTTTTTAACAGAGATATAAAAAATAATGTTGATAAAAAGTAATTGAAAGCCCTTTTTATAAAGAAATTGTCACGTATAAATTTACTTTTAATTACATTGAATATCGTAAATTTTTTTATCTTTGGAAAAATTAATACACATTGGATAATTATTAATCAGGAAAAATCAATATATAGAAATGCGTGAACAAATTGAAGAATCAATCGAAATTTTGGCTTGTTGTATAGAAATTAGAAATTAGAAGTAAATTATTTGATATACCCGAGTTTAACGTATGAGTGATGAATATATGCGTGATGAATATATATAAATATGAATGAATAATCAATAAGCAATTTCCCGACAGCTGGCGAAGTAGAATGATCTGTCTCCAATAATTTATTTCGACGGCAAATTATTATTACTATTTTTATTATTAAGAGGGAAAACATTAATCTAGAACAATCACAACACGGCTGACATTGTGGCTTTAATACAACTAAAAATAAATTTAATTTCCTTTTATTTTAGCGAGAATTAAAATAATTACTAATTTGAATAATTGCCAATTTGAATATACATAAAAATAGATGTCGCAAATGGCGTAAACAAATAAAATTAACAAAATTACGTAGTATGGTAATCGAAATATGAGGCAATTAATTCATTGGTATTAATAAATCGACAACATGATGAATATGATAATGTATCTAATATATATATATTGTTCAACCCAAGAATGATAACGAATTACATTTGCATATTTCTATTTCAGATTCCGGGAATACTTAGCCTTCTCTAAAACAGAAATCAAAATACTGAAAAAGAAAATGTGGCAAGTGTATATCAGATATTGAGTTGTATTTTTTTGGCTATTTTTGTTCTCAGGATCCAATATCAATAATTAATTATGAAAAATTATTATCAAAAAAAAAAATAATAAATAAATAAATATTGACAATACAATAGATATGTGTGTATTATCGAAATAATTAAAATATACTTTTTAAATTTAATAATAATAAATTCTCAGTCGTCGCGTTAAAATTATGGTTACACGATGGAATTGATCGACAATATCAATTACCATATTACTACTAAACTCATAAAACCAAGCTTGCATAGTGCATGATAGTGTATATATAGTATTGATAATCAGACTTATTAAAATAATAATAATAATAATAATAATAATAACAATTGTCAATAAAACCATAAGGAGCCAATCTTAATGACTTTAGTTTTATAATTTACAAATTGTGCAATTCAGAATGACCTAATTTACGTGAAAGTTAATTCTTTAAAATATCGTAACATTTTTTTTTCATTGGTAAGATTTTTTTACAAAAGAAAGCGAGAATACCAATCAAATTTTTTTAAAAAAATTTGGGAACATGGATCATCGGGTTTTAAATTCCCCCACATTAATACCTTTTAGTATTAGTACTGATCTCGCCAAATCCAATTTTTTAATTTCTCCCGATTATCCATCTTTTTCTTCAAGCTAAAATTATTTCAAGAGCAAGTTAATTTTAAATTTGTTGAACATTTTGTTTGACGTCTTGTTGAGCGTCTTGTCGAAGAGTTTGATGAGTAGAAGCAGAAGGAGAAGAAATGTTGTTAACAAGGAGTGTTTTAGGATTAATTATAAATAGTCAGATTTAGACATTTTTTGGAGCCGCAACTTTTTTTTCCAATTCTATTATTTGTTATTATTTCATTGAATCAACTAAAATTGCTTTTTGTTTAGTTGTTTGATTGACTTTATAACGATGCTTGTTTATTTATTTAAAAATATGTTAGCTTGTAAGTCATACTAAAAATTTCTTTCGTCTTATTAAATTATTTCTCAAGAAAACTAACTACCCAACATTCCGTCGTGAAAATTCTAGTCAGCCAATCAACACTCCAATTTATTAACTGCACTAGAGCATCTTCATGATAATTACGACAGCATCATCAACAACGTTAGCATCTCAGAGAAATGTAAACAAGGATGAACAGAAACTTTAAAGCTTAAACTCATCACACAGTGTCAATTCAGGTCTGGACGAGGAAACAGATTAGATACTTCACAGGCCTTATCAAAGTTTCCACAAGCACAGCAGGATTGCATAGCATATTATCATTATAACATTGTCTAGATTATTTGGCTTCATATCAGCATACGAGAATTACAGGCGAGAGACCATTGCCACAACTTCAAAACAGATACTTTCTTGCCAGTAGTGATATCAGACGACAACAACTAAACGACATTTGTTTTGTTTTCAACTCTCCTCGAGCTACACATAAAACTATTGCAAGTTCAGACATTGCCATCACTTCTGCAAGTCAAATAGTCATTCAGTTCACACAAGGATCCAAAAAGATAAACAAACAACACATAATATAGTAATAATCAACAACATCTATTGCTACAATGACGACAAAAAGATTAACACCATGTTAATAATTATAATAATGGCAACAATAATAACATTATAACCAACAATCTTTACAATAATAACTGCATCAACAGCCACAATAACTATATAATCAAATCAACAGTCATTACAATACCAACAATACCAACAACAATAACTATAACTATAAAGATGCAATAAACACAACCTCCAAATCTAGATTCTCATCATACATGAACCAGAGCACTAGTCATCCGAGTCCACCATGTAAGCAAGGCTCACCCAACAATACCCCTGACAAAGGAAGAAGAGGATCTACTCGAGAAACTAAATCCAGAGTATTTGCAGTTGACACTCCTATCAACATCGAAAAACTTATATTATTCACTAACCACCATCACAACAAAGCGTTCGTGAATTATATAATATATACAATGTTTATCAAAAGGTTTTCATTAAAATTATAGAAATGAAGAAAACACTAGCATCGTCACTCAAAACAATCTAAATTTTATAAGCCTCAACCAATTAACTTTTAAACAATATGATAGATTGCATGCCACTTTGTTCATAGGCCTACCTGCGAATCATATAGAATCAATCCATGTAAAATAAAGACAATGCGGACGGAGTTCCGAGTATTACATAATCATCGGCTCCCAAATTTTCCAGCATCAATGATGGAATTCAAAGAAGATTTCATATATCTTATCATGCAACAAAGTGGATTCATAGGGATGCCTTCTATCAAAATAGACATAAAGTGTGCTTACTTGTACACCCTCCATACCAAACATTGCAGGGCTTCATCTTCGATGGTAAAAAAAGGCTGGGCTTGGCAATCACGCATCAGCAGGGATATATAATAATTTATTCGTGTAACGTATATATTCAATCAATGCATATTAATATATGGATAATTAAATGACTGCAATTTAAACCTTGGGAATTATACAAGAAACCATCTACGTCCATTAAATTGTCATTTTCCTGTCATGTTCATACATAGAGGTTTATATTGTGAGGGGATAAAAGTCGTTAACAAAATTTTATTTTAATTTACGAAATTTATTATTAAATTATTTCACAACTTCGGGTCCTCGCTTACCGCATTAACACTCTAATAAAATAAAAACTGTAAAACCATTACTTAAAAAATTATAAATAAACCTTTAAAAATAAAACGTTGCTTTATTTTATTTTACTTTTCATTTAAAGTGGTGTTAAGGTTAGTAAAGTATTGGTCAAATGTTAGCCGGGAATATTGATAGTGTTATCGTAATCGTAGTGCTGTTAAACAAACTGTCCAAGTTGTTCTGTAAATAAATCAAAGCGAGTTAAATAAATATAGACAAGGATAAACGATTGAAATAAATCGGTCACAAGTGAATAAAAGGAACTTTATAGAAGCCTTCGAGCTTTGTAAAAGAGCCATCTTTATTTATTTACAATTACCTTACACCAATAAGTGTGATTAGATGCTCGCTGAAGCTTTCCGGGTACAAGTAAGCGAGAATCAAAGTAAATTCGTAAACTAATCAATTGACAAGTGCCGAAATTACTCGACAAGGGCAGCCCAAAAGCTAAGCCATCGTGTTAAATGATCGGCATTAACCAATATTATAAATAAATTTACAAGTTTATACAATTCGTCCTATTGGATGATTTTTCATCTGATTTTTTATTATTTGAAAGTGGTCATTGAAAAATATATTTTGTGTATATCAATGATCGGTAACGAGTCACCTGAATTGTTTTTCAACTGCGCATTTGCTTGCTTTTTATAATAGTTGTGGGACATTGCGAATAAAATTATTATCGCCACTTCAAAAAAAAAATCTCCGTTTTTCATATAGCAAGCGATTTTCAACCATAATAAAATTTTTAGAGCCAGACTGAGACTTTTAACAACAGTTAAAAGAAAAGGCTAGCTTAAATATTGGTTATTCTACGCCAGGTCGGAAGTGTTTCTTTTCTTCACACTTATTTTAAGATTATCACTCAACTAGTATGCAGACTAAAGCAAATTCAACAGTAACAGTTGTGCCAAAGTGTTCCCTACAAAGTCGCTTATAACCACTTGGAAGGTTGTGTTAAAAAATTTTTGCTTTTAATTATAAGGGACTGATTTATAGTTATTTATAAGGTTATTAATTTATTTAGAATTTTAAAATTACATGGTCAAAATTTCAAAATAATAATAATAATAATAATAATAGTTAATTTATTGTTTGATAATTATGAATACAAAGAATTGGAGAAATAATAATTAACAGTAAAGAAATTTATTTATTAATGATAGACCTTTGGCACTGTACATCAAGCAAGGTTTGAATATTTCAGAACAAAGCTCTAAAGGATTGTGGTGGTAGTGGTGGTAATGGTGATGATAGTGGCAATAATCGTAATGCCATGGATACAAGTTGGTAATAAAAAATAAAATCATCATCATCATCATCATCATTATAACTTGCTCAATATAAATATATTTTGTTAATATTTAATTTATTCCAAATGATCTGATAATTAAATCCATTAAATTGAATAATAATATACCAATATTTCTTGAAAAAAAAATTTTTTTTTTCCTTATATATATATAAATAACAAATATTTTAATTATCTAAAATCATAAAGTTATTTTACATATAACATCTTTAATCATATTCCTTTTCTAAAATATATACAAAAAATCAATAATAATAATCACACGAATGTTTCAGAAAATTTCTATTTTAAAATGCATTCTTGAAGAATTATTAATTAGTCTGCACCAAAATTATCAGAAAATAATCTTGCCACTACATTATCCATTGAAAGATTATAATAATAATAATAAATGATAATAATAATTATGCGTAACAATCGTTTCTGATCATAAACCACCAGATTGTTCCATTTTTTTCTTTGAAAAAATATAAAAATAAAAAAGTAATCAATAGTTAATAGTTGATGCAACATTGCATACATATCCTTTTAATAATTTATTATTAATAATATATTGTTATTACAGGAATATTAATTAGAATATTTTGATGTTGAATTTTCTATCAAATATAAATAATTTCTATTTTCTAAAAATAAATAATTAATAATAAATAAAATATGATCGCGTAATGGATTGTACACTGTCAGATCATCAGATCGTTCAACCTTTGGAAAAAGAAATTAATATATTAATATAATCACACATACCTTTTAATAATAGCAATAATATCAGTGCTTGTAATCTTGAAATAATTATCATCTTCTGGTCAATTGATATGGTTTTAACTCAAACTTTTTACATATATGTTATTTATTTATATTAATATATATATGTATAAATAAAACCATTAATAATCATTAATAAAATTTTCTTTTTTTTTTAACTATATATTACATATTAATAACATCTTCATCAGATCCTGCTAATGTATTGATAAATAAATACTTTTTAATTTAATCATTACACTTTTAAATATATATATAAAATAATAGAAAATGGATGAAAAAAAAATTAGTAATAGTATGAAGCTAATCTTTAAAAATATTAAAAAAATCAAATTAACTGACATTACTTCCACTTTATTAATAGCCATTCTTGAAAAGAGTCTGTTACGCGAATTTGTTTTTGAAAATATTAAATAAATTTTGTTTGATACAATCTTCTATTTCATCCAGCAATGTATATTAGTATATTAATATTATCAGGTAAAATGTTTATTATTATGAAAATAATCTTTAAATTAATAATCAGGATCTGTTTCACGAATTTGTTTAATATTAATATTAAAAAGCAAAAGTTTGGAAATTAGAACTTAACTAATGTATTTATTATTATTATGTAAAAAAAATTAAGCCCAAAGATTGAAATTGTGCATGTTATCCAATTCTTAATTTATTATTATTATAGAACTTATAAAACTGGTAGTCCAACTTCATGTTAAGATTTTCGCTTAGTGGTATTTGTTTACTCTGGCAAAAAATACATCAAAATAAAGGTTTTTTCATGTATTTCAAGTAACAATCAAGTAAGTTTGTGTATGAAACGTGATTTTTTTTTATAAAAATTCCGTGTTGATCAAAAAATTTTTATTAGTGGGTGGGTGATACTTCACCTCCCCGTAGATCCGCAATGACCTGCGACTGATAATTTTGATCTACTTGTTCCGGCGGAATCGGCGCGCGCTAACCAAATCCGAAAATCAACTGCAGGTAATTTCTAAAATTAGACCAGTTTTGTGTTATGGCGCAGTCAATTTTCGAACACCAGTGTCAAAATAAAATTTAATGTAGGGTGTGTTTGGATACAAGATTTGATCGGCTAATTTTAAGTTTCACGCGCGTGAATTTCCCAATTGACACGGGTTTTTAAATTCAAGCACAACAGTGACATGTATAAATAGTAATAATAAAAAAGATCATCACGACCAAGTATTAAAGGAAGCGAAGAAGGAGATGGAATCATTCAATCAAGCTAAATAGTTAACGATGACTTAAAACCAAACCCATAACAAAATCCCGCCGACCAATTGAACACCTTGAAAAAATAAAAATAACTCCTTTCAAAAATATCCAAATAAAAATTCTCGTAGAAAATCTGCAACTTAAAATTTAATTAACCGTGAAAATTTAAATCAGAGATATTTTTTTTATTATTTTTAAAAATTAAATTAATCATTATAATGAAAAAAAAATAGAAAAAAAAAAAAATACAATAAATCTTAAAAGCTTAAAAATAGACATCTATTCTTTCTTATTACATAATGAACCCCGTTAATACGAAGTACGTTAATACAACGAAATCTTTGTATTATATTAGCTTACAAATTTACCCGTTAAATCCGAAAACCGAAGAAAAATGGCTGTCGGTTTAACGGGTTGACTATTACTACACGTTACGTTTAAAAAAATTAAAGCAAAAAAAAATCTTAAAAGTAAATAAATCTTAATAGCTTAAATAAAAAAAAATTTAAAGGATCGATATAAGGAAAAAGAAAAATTTAACGACCATATTTGCGATAGTCATTTTCGAACAGTTCCACTATAAACCTGTTTTCTATTTCCTCGGGAACTTTTAGTAAATTTGTGCGTTCCTCTCTTGTATCGGCGACTTCCATTAAAAAAAAAGGGGGGGGGGTTATACAATTATGACAATAAAATTTATTTCGAAAATTAAAAAATTGTAATTGTAAAATTACCTCTTTTCGGAGAGTAAAACCTGATATTTTTAATAACTATTCTTTGGTTTTTGTGACGATTAATTTCTTTGGAAAAATCTATAAAAATCTGAGCATCATTTGGACTCAATGCCTTCCAAGATCGTGACACTAACGGACTGACTATTGTGAGGTAAACTTTTTTATAAAATTTCCGATACTCTTGATTAAATAATTGCCTAAACAATATGAAAGGCTTTTGTTGACCAGCGTGTTTGACGTAATGCTCCAGACTTTTAAAACGTATTAATGTCGGGCGCAGCATTGGAAAGTGATGGGTCACAAAAAATAAGCGATTGCTATAATTGATGATCATTGGTTCGGTTATTGAACGATTGATTATGCGTTCTAGATCGGATTTTGTGTTTGGAAAACAGATCATCATTGTTGTTATACGGAGTTTTTTGGTTTTTTTTTTTTTATTTTTTTATTTTTTGATTTTTAATCGTTTTTTTTTACACGCGCAGATAAAAATGAGAATGTGAGCGAGCCATTTTATAAAGAATTTTTCACGCATAAATGTCACTTTTAATCGTATCATTCATTGCTTTTGATATCATAAATTTTACATCTTTGGAAAATTTAATCTATATTAGATAATTATTAATCAGGGAAACAAATAATATAAAATACGTGAACGAATTGAAGGATCAACTGAAAGTTTTGCCTTGTTGTAATTACAAAAATTAGGACAAAGATATTTGACATTTTAACCGAATTAATCTATGAATTGATGTGTGCGTAATTAATATATGAATGTGAATGTTTGATGACATTTACGATATTTCATAAAGCAAGGGTGCTTATTTTTATCTGCTCGGTGGAAGACTTTAATTATTATAATTATTACGGGGATAAGAACAATCGTAATACGATTGACATTATTCAATATTATTATGGCTTTTTGACACGACTAAAAATAAATTTAATTTCCTTTTATACAATGAATGACTGCTCGCGAATACACAACAAATAATTGGAATTGTTACATCATCGACATAACTTTAATATTGTGATAACCACATAAAAAAATAGTCGTTATCAGAATGGGGTAAACAAATGCGTGATGAAGTTATGTAGATTATGTAACATGTTAATTAACAAAACGAGATAATGAATTGTTTAGTTGGTAGTGTTAATAAATCAATGAATTGATTAGTTGGTAGTATTATTAAATAAGGTTTGTATTATTACAATTACAAATATCTAATATTAAACTTGTTTTTTATATTTTTCGGCCAGTTAATACTTACTTACATTTAGAATTGATAAAAAACTAACTTTGCATATTTAGTTTCCGAGAATCCTTATGGATTATATTAAAAAAGAAATTCCTATGTATATGATTCATGCTTAATTATATGTAATCCAATACCAAAAAAATATATATTGAGTGTATTTTATTGACTATTTTTTGCGCTCGTGATTCGATTAATTGTGAGGAGATTATTATTAATAAATAATACAATAGGTGTGTTAAAATTAATTCAAAACGCGTTAAAATTTGTGTAACAAAAATGATCGACCTTAAACTTGCCGTATTTTTACCATCATCATGTAAAAAATTATTTTACACAAAAAATGATGCATAATAGTAAAACATTGGTAATGGTAATGTTGTTGTTATTATTATTATTATTATTAACAAAAGAAGTTATCAAAATACGAGCTATTACGTGGAAAGATCGTCTGGTTTCATTTATTAATTGAGATATCAAGCAAGGTCCAATCATCATCAATAATAAAAATAATAATAATAATAATAATAATAATAATAATAATAATAATAATAATAATAATAATAATAATAAATAATAATAATAAAATAATAATAATAAAATAATAATAATAAAATAATAACAATAAAATAGTAATATTAATAAAATAATAATAATAATAATGATAGTCAAGGGAATAAAAAACATAAAAGTAATCTTGTCTAGATTAGATTTTTTTCAACTCCTTGTTTTTTTAACGATTTTTATTTTACTTTTGGGAATCCCCACACTAATTAGTATTAGTGCTGATCTCACATTGTAGTAATATACATTTCAGGAACGTGGAAAAGGGGTATGATCCAATTTCGATTATCTATCCATCTTTTTCTTTAATTTTAAACAATTTAACGAGGCGAAAAGAATTTTTAGTATGAATTACAAGCTAATTAATACATGTACATTTTAAATAAATAAACAAGCATTGTCATAAAGCTAATCAAACAACTAAACAAAGCAATATTTAGTTAATTCGATGAAATAATAATTATAACAAATAATAGAATGGGGAAAAAGCTGCAGCTATATAGAAATCATTTAAATCTGACTACAGTACACGTTCAAAAGGTATAATTAATCCTGAAACACTCCTTATTAACAACGCTTCTTCTACTTCTGCTTCTGCTTCCGCTCATCAAACTGCTCAATAAGACGTTCGACAAAATGTTCAACAAATTTCCCAAGAAGACATTCTAGGAACTTCTCAAGAAATTACTCAACATTTTGCCGAAAAATTACCCGAACTTTCCAATCAACATTATCGAACACAATCTCCTGAACTCAATAATCAATATAATAGTGGTGGAAATTCTAGTCAGGCAATGACAGCCAACCAATACTCCAATTTATTAGCTGCACTAGAGCATCTTCATGATAATTACGACAGCACCATCAACAACGTCATCATTTGCAGAGAAACGCAAGTAAAGACGGGCAGAAACTTAACAGTATAAGGCCGAAGAAACTGGTTAGATACTTCTCAGCCCTATCACAATGGATCGATGCATTCCAGGGCTGTCTCTACCATCTACAGTAAGCATTGCAACACTATTATAACATTGTTGAGAAGGCTAGATTATTTGGCATGAATATGATTAAACAGCTGGGAGGAGAATCGAGAATTACAGGCCCACGGAACAACCACAACTTCAAAACAGATATCTTCTTGTCAGTAGCAACATCAGACAACAACATTTGTTTTGCTTTCAACTCCCCATCGAGCTACACATAAAACTATTGCAAGTTCAGACACTGCCATCACTTCTGCAAATCAAATAGTTGCTCAGTTCAGCAACGCTTCACATACAAGGATCCAAAAAGGTAAACAAACAACAATCAATAATGATAACATCTATCGCTATAATAGTAATCATCATGTTAACAATCATAATAATAACAGCAATAATAACATCATTAATGATGGTGATAATATTATGGCCAACAGTTTTTACAATAATTATACTAATAATGATAATGATAGTATTATAACAAACGGGATTTACAATAACAACTACGTTAACAATAGCTGCTGCAACAATTATTACAATACCAACAACACCATAATAATAACTATAACTATAAAGATGCGATAAACACAACCTCCAAACCTAGATTCTCGTCAGACACATGAACCAGAACACTATTCAGCTGAGTTCACCATGCAAGCAAGGCTCATCCAGTACACCTCTGACAAAGGAAGATGATGATCTGCTCAAGAAATTAAATCCAAGTTGACACTCCTATCAACATCGAAAAAATTATATTGCTCACTAACCACCATCCCAACAAAATGTTCGTGAATTATATAATACAATGTTTATCAAAATATTCTCGTTAAAATTATAGAAATGAAAGAAATACCAACATCGTCATCCAAGACAATCTAAATTTTCCATTGCTTTAAACAATATGACGGCAATGAACTGAAGCCAGGTAGAATTGCAGGCCACATTGATCTCATAGGTCTACCTGCGAATTATATAGAATCAATCCATGTGAACTAGAGCGTAAACTAGACAATGCAAATGGAGTTCCGAGTGTTACATAATCATTCGGCTCCCAATCTGCCAACATCAATGATGGAATTCAAAGAAGATTTCATATATCTTATGAAAACGTTAGTCATGCAACAAGGTGGATTCACAGGGATGCCTTCTATCAAAAGTAAATATAAATGGTGCTTACTTGTACATCTATACCAAACATTGCAGGGCTTTATCTTCGATGGTAAAGTATACTTTGGTAGAAGGCTGGACTTAAGATCTGTTTACATGGACCGACTGTTACAATCACGTGAATGGCAAATCAAAAGTAATTGCTAAACATATTTACAACAATTCTGGAGTTTCTGGGAATTCTGTATGGAAATTGCTATTAATGCTCAAAACAGCATCTATTCCATCAGAGAAATGATAAGTATTCCTACAAGGAGACTATTTGGAAATCAGCAAATAACATCAGAATTCTTATCTGAAATAAAAGATGAATGGGCTGATAGACCTCCATGATAGAACAATGGAACAGAATATATTTCCTTGAAGAAAAAGAATGGCTGACACTATCTTTAGACTATTTTCTTACATTGTGGTATTACATATACATAGTGTTCAAATGGGGACAAATTCAGAAATATATTAGAAATATGCGTATTATGCGTAGCCGTGAACTAGAAAGAGATGCGCAGCATTGGCAAGAAGAGCTTGCAAAACACATTTGTACATATAATGATAAAATGGTTGTTCACCCAGCAATCTTTACATCCCTTTAACTTGAGATTGCAGTATTAAAGATTAAAGAAATACCACTGCTGATCGCCTACCAAATGGAGCGGGTCTAGTAACATGGGTTACACAACCAAGACCTAATTTGAATTTAGTAAACCAGTTTCGAAAGATTTGAATTTACTTCAACTAGCTCTCAAATAACATACAAATTGATAGCATTGAAGAAGATAACATCTATCGTTTCACGCGTAGCCTACTACAAGAAATAATATTAACATTTAATAATAATACAACATTTACAACGATAATATACAATGTGATTCAAAAAAAGATGGTAGTTGCGATGTAAAATTATTTTGAAGTTATTAAGATAGAGGATCTACATAGTACAAAAAATTGTCCATTAAAAATATTTAAATAAACGCGACTTATCTTTTATTATTTGTTTATAAAATATATAGAATATATCGCTGAGAGCTATAATTTTAACTATATGTAAAAAAATTAAAAAAGTTAGTATTAAAAATAAAGACTTATATTATTAACTAAATTCAAATTATTAGAGAATGTATAGCTAAGTTAACGATTGTACAAATTAAACTTGCAGAATGACTTTTAAAATTGCAAAAGTTTATTTTAAACTACATAACTTCCATAAACACATAAATATCTATTAAATATTTATTTTAATTTACTTCTATACTACATGTTATGATCTATGAAATGAGGTTAAACTAATTCCTCAGTTTTTATTTTATACATGTGTTTTAGTAGTAGTCGTTTTAGTAATAATGGAAAATAACTAAAAGAGAAAGGTAAGCAAACAAATATATATTTCGTATTTTTTATTTATTTATATAAGATTCCACATTAGATACAATACATGCAAACTCATAATTATTCTTTAAAAAAGTCTAAAAGAGCAAATAGTGGATACATGCTTCGTGACATACAAGGTCCTAAAAATCCATATTATCACGCTATTACAACGAAAGGAGATGTATCATCTGGTAATATATTTCCATTGAGTATATGTAAGGAAACTGTTGCTTTAAAATTAAAAATTAAACAGAATGATTCAGTATATCTTACCTTTTTATGATATCCAAGAAACAGAAGAGATCATAATATATGATTTTTTATTCCCGCCATGGTATTTGCACTAATTATAACACAAGGAAGAGAATTGTAAGTATTTTGATTTGTAAAATTAAAGCTAATAATAATAACACAAAAAAATCTTGCAAATAACTGAGGAAAGCATATCTGGCTAAATCAAGAAAAAAAAATATTTGAAGTCGTGGGATTCAGTCCGTCCACTCTCTATATAATGGATCTTTCTATAACGGCCAAGAATTTAAGCCTAATTTATATGTCTAATGTTAATGTTAATATATAAATATAGGTTCTCTCTATAATAGAGTGAACTGTATATGCTGGTGAAATATTTTGGATGGGATGGTGATAATCCAAGTCCTCTGTGTGGAAATTGTGATAATTGTTTACAAGTACAAGCCAAGCCTCTAAAGTTAATTTGATGTGGAGGTAATCGAGTAAATTGAATGAAAATGGTAAAATAATCAAAGGACCATGAAGAACTCACTGATAAAACTTTTAAACATGAGAGGTTGATTACGTTTGCTTGATTGGTTTATAATATGTAAAATAGTAAAAAAGTAATGATAAATTTATATAGACCAGATTTAAATGGCAGACAAACCTTCATATTATTAATGTATATATAAGGACTGTCACGAACAAACATTAAAGAAAACGAAAATTTGGTAATTGTGTCGTCATTGAAAGAAGAGAGGAAGAAGAACTTAATTCGATTATGAATCATCTCAAATAATTTCGAATTTCGAATTTGTGGCAAGATTTGGATTTGTGATAAGATTAGATTCAGATTTGTAGTAAGATTTGAATTTGCATAGGATTTTTTTTCTGTGTCTTAATATTATTGTCATCTTCTCTTCCTATCTATCTATTTGAAAATTTTACATCCTTTCCAACTAGTGTTTGTTGCCAAAATTATTTTAAAAAGACAAAAGTCAAAACCAAAATTAAAAGTTATATGACAAAACTAAATCAAAAGTCAAAAATCAAAAACTAGTTCCGACTTATGGCGAGACTTTTTGACTTTCGCACAATTGCGAACCCTCAAAGTTTTGGAAAACCAACACTATTTTCAACTATAAGTAGTTTAAACTTCAAGTCCACTGATGATTGATATTATTAAGAATAGTAATAATGAAAATGAAAAAATTGTTTTTATTATTGTTAGACATAAAAGTATGTGTTACAAAATTTTAAATTCGAATATTAATATTCAAAAATATTAAATTTTGAATGAATACAATTACTAGATGGAATTGTTCGATCGATCATAAAGGCCAAACGGAACAGTTAACAACAATTTAATGCCAAACACATGCCAAAAATCCGTTAGTTGATTGAACACCTTGAAAATATCAATCAATCTATTTATATTAACCATGAAAATTTATATTATATTAACATCAGGATGAAATAAAAAATAAACACTTAAATTTTTGACAAATAAATAAAAATATAATAAAAAAAAAATGAATTCATGAATTCGCGCAACACATTTAATATTACCAAAAAAAAAAAAAAAAAAAAATACAATTATTTGTAATAACTTAAAAAAATATACAATTAATTATTTGTAATAACTTAAAAAAAAATGCAATTAATTATTTATAATAACTTAAAAAAAAATGCAATTGTTTGTAATAACTTAAAAAAAATGCAATCGTATGTAATAACTTAAAAACTTAAACTTAAAAGCTTAATAAATCTTAAAAGCTTAAAATAATTAGAATAATTAAATGATTAATAGAATGTTTCTAATGATGTTTAAATGATATCACTTTCAAACAATTCTTTGAAATATTCCTTTTCTTCCGCTTCAGTAACTTTGAAAATGTTGGATTCTCCTTTTGTGTTGGTAGCTTGGCGATTGACTTTTTTCTCTAAAAACAAAAAGCTTTTTTATTAAAAAACAAAATTACGGCAATAAAATTTATTTCAAAAAAAAAAAAAATTGTAAAAATTACTCGTTTTGGGTGAATAAAAGTTGATATTGCTGATATTATTGATTGAGTTTTTTCGATTTTTTTCATCATTGATATCTTTCGAGAAATTTTTGAAAAACTGCTTGTCGCTGAGACTTAGTGCCTTCCACGATCTGGAGGCTAAAGAACTTAATTTTCCAAGGAAAACTTTGTTACAATGGTTCTTGTACACTTGATTAAATACTTGTCTGAATAGGGTGAAGGGCTTCGATTGGCCTGATATTTTTTCGACATAATAATCCAAATTTTCGAATTGAATTAAAATAGGCGGCAGCTTTGAATACTGTGTTACAAAAAACCATTTTCCTTCATGGCTAATGATGCTCGGTTCGACTATCTTACGATTTATTTCAAATCCCATGATAATAAATTTATTTATTTTATTTTATCATCACAAAGAAAAAATAACTTTGATAAAAAGTAGCTCATTTTATAAGAAATTTTCACGTATGAATTTTACTTTAATTACATCATTCATTGCTTTTAAGTATCGTAAATTTTATATCTTTGGAAAAAATAATATTAATATTAGTATATACTTGATAATTATTAATCAGGAAAAATCAATAATATAAAAATATCTAACGAATTGAAGAATTAATTGAAAACTTTGCCATGTTGTATATGATTACGAGAATTAGGAAAAAAATATTTGACATTTTTATTAATAACCGAATTAATGTATGCATGCGTGATGGATATATTACTTGATAGCCAATTTCCGACATTTTACGAAGTAGTAGTAAAGAGGCTTATTTTCCATGAGCTTATTCGACGGCAAATTATTATTATTACTATTATTATTACAGGGAAAAAATATTGAGACAATCAATAATACGATTGATATTATAATTTGACACGACTAAAAATAAATTTAATTTCCTTTTTAATTGGTAACAAATGATTACGATTATTCGCAAATATACGACGGATAATTGAATAATTGAACATATCAACATAATTGGAACATTGTAATAATCACATTAAAATAACGATATGCATTATGGTGATTAGTTAATTACTAATATTTTTATATTTTTCAGCCTTAAATTTTTCTAAATTTAGAAATCATAAAAAACCAAATCTGCATACTTGCAATTCTTAGTTTCAGAATCCTTGCTGAGTCTTCCAAACGGAATATTTAGAAAGAAATTACAAGTGTGTATGATACATACGCCACAAAAAAATTATTTCTTTTGCCATTTTTGTGCTCTTGATTTGATTAATTACAAAAAAATTGTTATTAAAAAAAATAATAAACAATAGGTGTGTATTATCAAAAATAATATACATCAAAGACGCGTTGACAAATGTTGATTATTACCATATAAATATGCCTTTATATATTAAAAATTTGCATATTTCTTTACACAAGATCTATTCAGTAACACAAGTAATACTAAAATATCATTATATTAATAAAATAATACCAATAATAAATATTATCATCATTAGCAAGGCAAAATCGTATTAATTAAAATACTATGGTTCAATAATGATAATAAAATTACCAAGGGAATAAAACATAAGAAAAGTGGATTTAAATTTTTATTCGACTCCATGTTTGTTTAACGATTCTTATTCAAATGATTTTTAGTACAATTCAGAATAATTGCACTTGAAAATTCTTTAAAATATTTATTTAACGATTAACAACAACAACAACAATAATAATAATAATAACAACAATAATAACTAATAATAATAAAATATTTTTATTTTTTTGTTATAAAAAAAAAAATTATTCTAGACAAGTTACACACCAACATGTCACGTAAATGAGAAGGTCCCTCGAATATATTAATTAAAATTTCTCAGTCAGGGTCCTAGAGAGAGTATACGATTGCTCAAAAATATTATAAATAAACTTTTATATTAAGAAATTCCAATAACGAATTGCTGATGCCATATTGCTATTACTAAGTTTATTAATGTTAATATTAAATGTGTGGCGTAAATGTCGAATATTCTATTAATCAATTATTATTACACACAAAAAAAATCAAATTATACTTTAAAGCCTTGTTTGTGTTTAATTGCAATTATTAAAATGGATAGTTACAGAATTATAGAAACTATAGGAATCAAATACCATAAAAAATGAATGATTTAGTTTCTTTGATGATTTCTTTATTTGGAGATTTCTCTTTTTAAAAAACAAAATATTATATAACGAATAACAGCAAGTTACATCCATATTTACTTTTATATACTTTGTATATTCACGATTAAAAAAAACAAAAACAAAAACAATGATGACTCGTAAATTAAATTTGGCCCATTCGTATATTTATAATAATAAAAACAACAACATGTGATATTTGATGGATGGAGGCATTCACATACAAGGAAATGATTAAATAGCTAAATCATTAAAGATATATAATTAATTATATTTAAAATATACAATAAAAAAATTGCAAGACTACAAGACTATGTCAATCAAGCTACCAAGCTGTTATGTTTGTGCATGATTTAAAATTTTATTGTGCTAATTTAGGATGCGACAATAATAAATATTTTCTCAGAAATCTGGCACTTTATTTCATTTATATATACATATATCAATATAGGATCGTCGGGAGCTAACCAAAAAAATACCAAGATTATATATAAAAAAAACAGAAATATCTTTTTGAATCTCTCTCACTTTATTAAATGCATGGGAAAATTGTAAACCCTAATATAATAAAACAGTTTTCTCTTGGAAATTTTTAAAAAACATGTTAAATAAAAATAAAATAAAACTAGGGCTAGTTCGATTTATAGATAATATAAGTTATTGTTACAATACTTTTTTAAGTATTATATTTTATTATATTTTTAGTCAACAAAAATTACATGTTCATAAACCATTTAATGGTTACCATCCGGCGATTTTGATCACAGGAACTTCGGT